TAATGTTTAAATGAATAAAATAAATCCTTGTTATAGAAATGTCTACTCGCGGGAAACTTTAACAAGAAGTTTTAAATAAACGCAAAACGGTCAAACATTTATAAAAGGATCGCACTGCAAATTTAATTTTTTATACAAAAATTTTTTTATTTGCAGACGACAGGGATGACGCCGTTGATGTACGCAGTGGAGGACAACCGCAGCGAGCTACTCGATCGGATGATCGAGCTCGGATCCGACATGAACGCCAGAAACAATGCAAGTATTCTACGATAAATAAGACAAATTGTTTGATAAATTGAGAATCTTCATACTTAATAAAATTCAAGAAATATTTATTTATTTTATTGTAATAAGAATCATATATGGATAAATTTTTTTGGAATATTCATTTAAAACCATAAATGGGAAAAATGTTTGATTCATCATTTCTTGATTCATTGTCATCGTGGTAAGTTCTTGTGCTGGGGTTACATACTTACATGGCATTGACACGTAATAATACCCTCGAAGGTGACACGTGCTACGAAACGTACAGCTATTGATGAAGTTACAATCTGTGCTAAATAAAGTTACTAAACAAGTAAACCTACCCAAGTGTAACTCTCCAATTTCATTCAAATTTGGTATAAATATAGAACTGTGAAAAATATTTTAATTATGTCTTTCCATTTTGGCTTGTGCGGTTTTAAGGGCAGTTATTATAATTTAAATTTTCACTCTCTTATTAGCTGTAAACGCAATAATATCTAATTACATAGTAATATCTGTTGAGATTTCTTTATGCAAAATATTAGTATCTCTAGATATAATATCTGTACGATTACTCTTAGCACTTTTCGTAATTGATCAATTATAAAATGTAATAAAATGTAGTAAACGTAATAAATTTATTTTCTTTAAATTATAAATGATATAAGCATTTGACATTTATAAAATTTGAGAAATATACCTTACTAGAGCAGTAAAATTGAAACAAACGAAGTTTCCTGAAATTTTTGAAAACAAAGTTTATTTTACGATTCAAACAAACTATATTTTTAAAATAATTAATAAAAATTGAAAAAAAATTTCCTCTCATATTTATACATATTTTTTAATTTTTTCTTTATTCCATCATGTTAGATAATTATCCTCGTATTATGAGTAGAGTCGGAGAAAGAATCGTTCTCATTTACAAATTTTTTTTAATCTCATTTTTTGTCGCAGAAAGGAAAGATACCTCTTCTGCTAGCAGTCGAGGCTGGCAATCAGTTGATATG